GAGAGCGGTCGGATGTTATTTGCATTCAGGAAACTCATCTTATAGATTCAGATCAGCATATTTATTGTCATCAACAAATTTGGCCTTATACTGCCTCCAGAGCTCATGCCCCCCATCATGGTAGTGCAGGAGTCGCTATTTGGTTTCCTCCAGCATCCAAGTTAAAACCTTTTTTTTTGGATGTTGATAAACTAGAAGGCGGGTGGGCTTATATCCTGGCTATGTTGGAACTGAAAATTATTGGCATTCTTTGTGTTTATGCTCCCAATAATGTTAGGGATCGTCAACGCTTTTTTGATTCTCTCCCCCTCATTCTCCCTCTAGGGATTCCATTCATAATAGCAGGAGATTTTAATACTGCTCCGGATCAATCTCTTGATAGATGGAATATTCCTAGTCCCTGTCCAACTTATGTGGAGGATGATGAAATTATGATGAGAAACTTTGCCCACAATTTAAATCTCTTTGATTCATTTAGGCGTCTGAATCCATCAAAGCATACTTACACATGTTTTCGAAGGAATCAAACCAGATTGCTCACCAAGTCTCGTATAGACCTTATCTTTATTTCAGAGGATTTGGAAGGTGTGCTCCAGATGGCAGAAATTTTTCCCCCCCTTTGGAAGGAAGCCAAATCAAGGAAGAGGATTCTATAAACTTAATACTGTTCATCTTAAGATTGACTCTTTTAAATCATTTATCAAGGATGTGTGGTCATTTTGAAGGAATCAGAGGGATGAAATGAGGTACTCTGGTTCAATAATGGGTTCCTCTTCCTAAGTCGTAAATGCAATGAATACTCGAAAGTATTGGCTATGGAACGTCATTCTTCTGAAACTAGTATATATCATCGTATTCATCAATTGTCACAATCAGAAGATGAGGAAAGAAATCCAGAAATGCAAAATGAAATGGCTAAGGAAATTCAAGACCTGGAAGGCCAATTACTTAAATATATGGAATATAGATGGCAAGGTATGAAAATTCGTGGTGGAATTCCTAAATTTCATACGGAAGGAGCCATGGATGCAATATTTTTTGTCATGGCCAAAGTACGGACAAGTAGAACTTTGATAGAGGCTCTAGCACATCCTAATTCTCTAAACGGGCCACTAGAGGTGTCAACAGCAGGATGTACTAAAATTGCCAGGGATTTCTTCAAGGATCTGTTCCTTTCAAAAAATAGGGGCATTCCCTTGGATCAATGCACAAAGGAAATAGAAGAGTTTCGTATCCCTTTAATTAAGTCTCTATTTCAGCATCAGAGAGAACAATTGGAGTTACCCCTATCTATGGAGTGCCCTATTATTTATGGAAGAAGATAAGACCCCAGGGATTGATGGTATCCCAAAAGAACTCTGGAAGCCATGTGAGATTTCATCTCCCAAAATCTCATAGATTCCTATCAAGCAGAATGGGACTCAGGCGATATGGGGGAGATAGTAGGGCAAGGGGTGTTGACCCTTCTCTATAAGAAAGGTGAAAAATATAACATTAGGAATTACCGACCTATTACTCTACTCACTGTGGTTTATAAGTTGATTTCAAAGGCTCATACGATTCGCCTGAATAAATACATTGCGGACATTATTCATCCTTTGCAAACTGGATTTATTCAAGGAAGCTATGTTGCATGCCCGGCCGCGGCCGTGGGCTCCAAACTGGCCGCGGCCGCGGCCGCGGCTTGAATCGGCCCGGTTCGGCCTAGGCCGAACAGCAGAGTTCGGGAGATTTTTTTTTTCTGTAATTTCCGACGTCCAAAAAAAATATATATATATATATATGAGCGTGTAGGGCAGAAATTGCTCTACACGCCCTTATTTTTTTTATATTTTTTGGAAGTCGGAACGCGCGGAAAACAAAAACTAAAAAAAAAAAAATAATAAATTCCAATGGGCCGTTTTTTGCCTGCATTCCGGTAGGGCCTACCCCACGTGCGGGTCCAGCCCACTGTTGCCGTTTCAGATAAAGGCCGCCACTTATCTGAAACGGCAACAGTTGATGCTGCTGCTGTTAGGTTGCCCCACTGCGTGCTCACGTGAGAGAGAGAGAGAGAGAGAGAGAGAGAGAGAGAGAGAGAGAGAGAGAGAGAGAGAGAGAGAGAGAGAGA